TAAAAAAAAAAAAAAAGATTTTAATGCTTTTACATTTTTTCAAAGTTGCATAATACTGAAAAAATAGTTAAATTATTACAGAATTTAGGTTTCAGTGTAACATGTTTTGGACAATCATTTTAATGAAAAAAATCAAAGGAGTCACAGTAAAAGACTGGGTTTTCTATTCAACTCCATGATCAATAAAAACTATGCTTCTTAACTTCCACTAAAATTGAGATTAAGAAGTACAACTTGGGGTGCCTGTGTGGCTCAGTCAGTTAAGCATCTGACTTCGGCTCAGGTCATGATCTCACGGTTTGAGCCTCACGTCGGGCTCTGTGCTGCCAGCTCGGAGCCTGGAGCCTGCTTCAGATTCTGTGTGTGTGTGTCTCTCTCTCTGCCCCTCTCCCCCGGCTCACGGTCTGTCTCTCTCTTTCTCAAAAATAAATTAAAAGTTAAAACAAAATAATAATAAATAAATAAATACATCTTAAATAAGATTTAAAGACTTGTTTTCTTTGAAAAGTGAACTAGGTAGATTATGAAAAGTAGCAAAACACTCTTAAATAGTCTTTAGAAATGTATTTAAACTAAAAACAAAAAAATCCCATGAAATGTTTTCATAAGTAGTTGGAGGAAAACAAGAATAAAAGCAGTCCAAGTCTACTGAAGACTCCACAGGAAATACAGCTGTCTTCCTCTAAGAAACCACAGGGTGTCACCATCACACCACAAATAATTGCTACAATTTCAGCAGTAAACCATTTTCAACACCAAAGGTGAAATAAATTTTTTTTTTTTTTGGAATAAGGTTCTAGCCAGGGCATTCTCACTAGACTTATCCTATCTCACATTTGATCACTATTAGGGAGTATACCAAACTACCAAATTATTTTTATAGTTTCAAAATAAATAACTCCTCACAGTCTTTTGACAAATGAACAGAAACATAAAGTCAACTACTTGTCTTTCCCTATTTCCAAAGTAGTATACATGCTGCACATTATAAAGATAGCTATTCTGTGTCTTCTAAATTGTGAAAATATTCTATATCTAATTGTTATATAAAGATCCAGAAAGAACTGGGTTCAAAGTATCTTTGGGATAGTTCTCACAGAACTAAAATACAATTAAAAAATTTTTAAAGACCTACATAACAAACTGACTCAATTGAGTCAAAACTAAAATACTAAATAACTGAAATTTATGTTACCAAAGTGAGCTCATTATCTTTGATTTCGAAAAAGAACCTTGTGAAACCTAATGGAAGAATTCAACTCTGATCCCCCAATTAATGCCTTAAATTCCAAAACTGTGTTAGAGGAAATGTAGAAAAATCAGTAACCTAATGCAACCTCTTTTAATTATTTCTAAACAGCGGTATTTTTGTAAAGGAATTTAAACTCAAAGTATTGAGAGAATGTCACTGCAAAATCTTAAGATTTTAGTCTTATATTCGCTCTCTAAATTATCATATAAAAATTGCTAACATTAACTTTAAAAAATCATTTAATATTCCATTTTTAAATTGAAGAAACATATTTTCAAAAACTTCCCCAACTGCTCTTTGAGGACCGAATTAAAACTTGTGAGATAAAGTGTAATAGATGCTTATCTGAGGTGTCAGACCACACGCATGCTATTGTAAATACCATAACAGAGGAAGGCAATATCAACTGCCGCTCATCTGGGATGCCCTAGACCACCACGCAAAGGACAAAGGGGATCCATGTGGGAAAGTGCTCAAAAGAACATGTAGGAGGACAGAGGACAAAGGACAAAATTCGCATTCCGCATAAGCCTGCTTAATGTCCCTTTACTGGGCAAAAGCTTTTCCTCCTTGAAGAAAAAAAAAAACCAAAACATCCCAAGTGAAGTCTTGAAACATGCCACAAGTTGCAAACACCTGCAAAAGCAAACAAATTTAACACAGATGTGCTCACATTCAATAGGGGCTATCTTTGCACACTTTCCTGAAAATGAGAACACTGTGTCTTTTCCTTCAGCAAAAAATAATGACAATAGATCCAGTTAGCTTGTGTCATATCACAGAACCTCAATTTCTTCTTTCAAAATGCCTGTGAGGTTTCCAAAAGAATATTTAAACCAGAAACTGAGTTTAAACCAAAAAGTTCCCCTTGATTACACTGCTAAAAAACTGCATAACAAGAATGCTACTCAGTTTTCTAAATACCAAAGCTAAGTCAACTGATTTTAAAGTTGTTACCATTAATGACAAAAACAAAAATAATAAACGTTTACTGACTGCCTACTAATGTGAGAGTATATATTTATGTGTGGATGTAGAAAATAGAATTCTATATACCAAAACATTAACAATGGTTTTGGTATTTTTAAGTTATTTTAATTTTCTCCTTTGTATGTTACAAATTTTCCACAATAAACATAAATTAACTATATAATGGGAAAGATTTTTAAAGATATTCAAGCTCTAGAAATCCTTCCTAGACTGGTACTAAAGAGAGAGAGCATTTTTATATTGGGATTTGGAATCACATCTTTGGATGAGCCATAAATCTTAAGATTTGCCTCAAATATGTATTTCCCATGGCAACACTTAGATTGAATTTTTCCAAAACCACCAAATTCCAGAACTAAGGAAAGGCTTTATAGTTGTTCATTAATTTTATCACTTAAACTATAAAAGTGAGTGAATATTTATAACCTTTATATATTCTTTTAATTTATCATTCTCTGCTTCCTTTTTACGAATTTGGAGCTGTAGTCGTTCATGTACTACTTTTACTGATTGTGAAAAACGGTTTGCTTTCAAAGCATTTGCCTGTAACAGAGAAAACAAACAAAAAAAAATGTGTTACTTCTCAAAAATCTTTAACTTTATCCATACTTAGACATGATCTAAAAAGTTAATAAAAAGCAAAGTACCACTGTAAATTAACCCTGATCTCCCCCATTATAAATATATTTTATATAAACTATGGGGCTATTTAATCCTCCCCCCTTTTATTTAATCGTTCCTGATAATCTCCTTTTGAAAAGTCCTATCTATCCTAAGTAAATTATATCTAAAATGCTTCTACAGGGGCACCTGGGTGGCTCGGTTGGTTAAGCGTCGACTCTTGATTTCGGCTCAGGTCATGATCTTATAGTTGTGAGATCAAGCCCCATATTGAGATCAAGCTTCACGTTGAGAGTTGAGAGTGGAGCTTCCTTTAGATTCTCTCTCTCTCAAAATAAACAAACATTTAAAACTAAATAAATAAAATGCTCCTACAAACACCAAAATTCCTCAGTTTATACTAAAATTGAAATACAATACAAATTTATGCATAGTTCCTAATATATAGTGATTTATGCCAATTAATCTGACCTAAGTATCATAAAAATCTTTAAAAAAGAAACTGAAAAAAAAAAGATATTTCATAAAAACTTGTAAAATATCCAAATAATCTAAAAACATTTCTGGGTCTATTTTTGAGGATATGGGCGCCAGAATGGAAAGAGGGAAAAGAGGGAGTCAATATTGAGAAAACTGATAAATTAAGCTCAGAATCTGCTTACCTTTTCATTCTGAAACAAACAAGAAAGTTCTTGAATATAGGTCTCCTTTTCAAGTAGCTTCTTCTTAAGATTCTTCAGCAAATATAATGTAAGAGTTAGAAATATCACAATTTGGATAATGTTGACTAATTTTATAAAAACAAGCAGCACATACATAAAAAATGTCAGAGTAGACACAAAGTGTAAAAAGACTTACAGTATTTTCATTTTCATTATCAGTTAGCTTCTCTAACATGCTGGATAAACTGTCCTCTACCTATAAAAAAAAAAGATATTATAAATCAGTGCTCACAAACATATTTCTCTACATATAAAAGTACAAAGAAGAATAAGCATCACTAAAGAAATTAATACGGGCAACTTTTATTCACAGTTTAGATTTTTTAAAAGGTCATCAGATGGATTTTTGCCTGAGTGTTCCAAATCATTTTGTGTCCACAATTTATGAAATTAATTATATACCTAATTTCTAAATAACACCTCAGACAGTAGAAGCCAATGACATAAAAACCACAAAAATCTCGGGGCGCCTGGGTGGCGCAGTCGGTTAAGCGT